ATCAATAGTAATTTACACCTCTCTTGTTGTTTACTGTTTAAAAACCAAATGGATTGTCTGGAGTGGCAGCCAGGATGTTAGCTTTTCTATTACCCGTAGCTTGTGATTGCAATGGAGCATTACCAAAACCCATTCCAGTAGGTTGTGATTGTAAAGGAGCGTTGCCAAATCCTTCAAATTGTGGTTGTACTTGTGGTTGACCAAATGTAGTAGGAGGCATGGATGCTGGAATTTGCTGATTAAATGTAGGAGGAGCAGAAATACCAGTATTCTGGAACATGTTTGTCATTTGGTTCATATCTGGTTGTGGCTGTTGTTGGAATTGATTAAACATAGGTTGTTGTTGTTGTTGTTGTTGTTGGAAATTATTAAATGCTGGTTGTGGGAATGGGTTTGAAGTTGCTTGTTGTGCAAATGATTGCTGACCAAAGGATGTTTGCGGTGGCAACCCACCTGTAATTTGAGGTTGTGTGAAACTGGTTTGTGGCAATCCTCCTGTAAATTGGGATTGTCCAAAACTAGTTTGAGGTAAACCACCAGTTACCTGGGCTTGACCAAATGAAGTTTGTGGTGGTAATCCTCCAGTTAATTGAGCTTGACCGAATGAGGTTTGAGGCAAACCACCAGTTAATTGGGCTTGACCAAATGAGGTTTGTGGTGGTAATCCTCCAGTTATCTGTTGGAGAACTGTGTTTGTATTCATGAAACCACCTGTAATTTGTTTACCAAAATTAGATTGTGGAACAAAACCACCTGTGATTTGGGTACCTCCAGTTCTCTGGGCTGGAACCAATGGTGTTTGGTTGAAGGAGGTTTGTGGGGGTGCTCCGCCAGTGAGCTGACCAATCATCGGAGCGCCAAATGTAGTTTGAGGCATAGTCACATTACCAGTTTGCAAAGGAACAAAAGTTGGTTGGAATGTTGGTTGTTGTCCAAATGTAGTGGCTGGTGGTGCGCTGGCTGTTCTCTCTGGTCCAGTTTTTTGAATGTTAAAAGTTGTAACACCCGGTTGTAATGGAATGATTCCAAATGTGACTTGGGGTTGTAAAATACCAGTTGCTTGAATTGGAATGAAACCAGTTGGTTGAGCAGTAATTGGGACAAATCCAGTAGGTTGAGCAGGTAATAAACCACCGGTTGTCATTGGAACCAAACCGGCACCTGTTCTTTGAACTGGAATTAAACCACCAGTTCGTTGAGCAGGAACAAGTGTACCGGTCTTTTGTTGAGGAACAACTGTAGGAGGATTTTGAGCAGTCTTATTTGGTTGAAGCACTGGAGCAGCTGGAGCTTGTTCTGGTTTAGATGGGACATTTTTAGTTTCAACTGGTTTGATGTTAACAAGATCAGACAACGCACCAGTATATTGTGGTGTTTGAGGTTGTGAATTTGATTGTGGTTGAGATGGAGCTTTAAGAAGATCTTCACTAGATCTAGCAGCTGGTTTCATAGCCCACGCATCATCTTCAATCTTGTTAGCAGATTTTGTAGCTTGTTCTGGAGCAGCTGGAGGAGCCGGAGATGGTGTACTAGCTTGAACTTTAACTGGTGAAGGTAAAGCACCAGCAGTAACTTTTGATACTTCAGTGGTGCTATTGTTTTTCAAAGCACCATTATTGTCAATAAATAATCCACCACTTGGTTGTGGTTCTTCTGAGCGACTCTTTCTATCAAATTTATTATCCAAGAATTTCATAACTCTAATAATATCACCTTCTCTCAATCCCAAAGTTCTCAACAAAGAAGGGGAAATATCTTCCAAAATATTTTCATCCATTTGCTCACGTTCAAAGTTAAGGGTATAACGTTGACAGTTACCAATATCAACACCACATTCAAGGAAGAAATCAAACCAATCATATGCAGGAACACCTTCTTTAGTGGTACCTTGTGGTCTTGTTGGTTTTGGTGGTGGTGGACCAACATCATTAATGACTGCGGTACCTGAAGGGGCACGTCTAGGTTCAGTAGGACTAGACACATTTGCAGCACCTGACTTGCTCTTAGATCTTGCTCTTTTAGCTTGTTGTTTCATAACTTGTTCTTTGTAACTTTCTAATGAAGTACCAGTGACTCTTTCAACATATTCAAGATCTTCAACAGATAATTTTTCAGCTGCAACGGCAATCTTGACCCCATTAGTTTTGTGCAAGTGTACTTTACCTTCAATACAACCCAAAAATTCAGCTTCGACCTTGAAGGTACCAGAACTATCGATCCATGTTCTAACTCTATGATAATTTGGCATTGATTTGTCCTTATCGTGTTGATCATTGTCACGATTTGAGGCAGCCTGTTTATCTCTTTGAGCTCTATCTTTTTCTCTAATTCTATCACGCTCTTCTCTATTTCTACTGTGATAACGTTTCTCTTTACCATCGACAACCCTACCTTTAGATCTGCCTGATTTGCGTCTCAACGGTCCATCAGTTAATTTATCTAAATTGGAAGTTCCAACAATTTCAATGTAGGTGGATGGGACGACACCTTGTTTACCAGTATCAACATTTTCAACCATCCACCAATCTTTGGACTTCTTTTCATCAACAATGTAAACCTCATCACCTTCTCTGCAATTCAATTCATCTGAACCTTGAGCTTCAAAGTCATAAAGCAAACGACCAATCTTTCTGTTCTTAGAATTAGTAGATGCCTGTGAAGCTCTAGCAACTTCTTTCAAGCCATGGGCAGATTCGGCACCCTTTAAGTCTCCTAATATTGCCATAATTGCTTGTGCGACATCTTTAGATCCAGCATGCAATTCTAAAGAAGTGGCTGGGTTTTTGAATTCCAAGAAAACATGCTTCTTTTCATGACTGAATGTTACCAAGTCTTTGATTCTCCATTGATTATCTAAAGATGATGAAGATCTTAATCTTAATCTCTTTGGGTTGGTTGTGTTTGGTTTGATAATGACTAATCCTTGACCAATTGAAAGCTTAATGGCTCTTTTTTTACGTCCATCAACTTCATCGATATACCAAGTAAAGAATTCACCATCATAGGTATGAGTTTTATTACCTTCATTATCAACGTCGGCTTCCTCTTCATAGTTTGATGATGAGCCAACAACTGGTTCGGGTTCTGCTACATTAGAACCAGAAGGTCTAGTTGGCATTGGAGGTGGAGCTTCTTCTTCTTCGACTTCCTCGTATTCTTCTTGTTGGCCACTATAACTTCTTGAAGTTTGATATCCTGGACGATTATCTTGTTCAAAGGCACGAGGGTAATCCTTTTCCGGCGTAGGTGGACCACCAACTGGGGTTCTATCCTTGTGAACAGGAGGTGGTGGAAAATCAGGAGTTCTATCTTTATGAACTGGTGGAGGTGGAAAGTTACTCACAGCAGCTGGAATATTAATCTGCTGTGGTGGGACTTGTTGCTGTTGTTGTGGCGGTGGTTGTTGAAACTGTTGTTGTGGCTGAACTGGAGCTTGTGCTTGAGCAGTCGACTCATCAACTTGAATATAATTTGAAGGAACAAACCCAAACTTTTGTTTTTGTAAGTCACCAACTAATATCCAATCTGGATCATTGAGATCATAAACGTAAAACTTCTCATTCTCATTGAAAGAAAGTTCTTCATCAGTTTGTTTCTCATAATCATACAATGCAGTAGCGGTTTTAATTACTGGTGCTTCCTCGATATATGTTGATGGTACTAAACCAGAAGGTTCATCAACAACTTCATCTCCAGTTGCTATCACTCTCTTTTTAACTTTCCACCATTCATCAATATCCGATTTCTCTAACAAATACAATAGATCATTTTCTTGTATGGTTAACTCTTCATCTGCTTGTGCAGTGTAGTCATACAATGCTTTATATACTCCAATGTATATCGACAGCATTGAGTCTTAATTCTTTGTTGTCGTGGTTTTTGGTTGTTGGATTTAAAAAGAACAGGAAATTTCGTTACTTATCACCTATTAAACCAGCTATTTCCCATTTCCTCATTTTTGTCGACATTGAATCTCAACATGAATTTTCGGTGAAACACGCACGACTCCCTTTTTTTTTTGGTAGTTTCTTTTTATTTTATTTTTTTTTTTTTTACTTGGGCGCAAAGAGTTGTGCTTTTGTTTAATAAGGAGATCACATTCATTAGACACAAAATTGACTGCAACATTGACTACAAAAAGTTGTATAACAAAAACATAATTTTAATTAACTCGGGTTAAGGGTTTATCGTAGCTAAATATTACGGTTTCTATATTTTCCATGGCAACATCCGCAGTGTATTTATAGTTCTCGGCAATACCTGAACCAATATGAGGTGTTAAAACAACATCTTGTCTATTTATCAATTCTGGGTGAATAGTTGGTTCTCTTTCAAACACATCCAATCCAGCAAATAATACTTTACCATTTTTCAATCCTTGTACGAGATCATCTTCATTAATTACAAACCCTCTTCCAATGTTAATGATTCTAAATGGTTTTTCCATCTTGTCTATTAAATTTTTATTGATTAAATGTCTGGTTGTTGGAGATCCGGGACAAGCTATTATAATCAAGTCAGCAAATTTGGTTGTTTCCTCTAAACTCGAATGATATGTGACTTTGTAACCTAATGACTTTTCGTGTGATTCTGAAAGTCTGTTTCTTTTAACATAATGAATATTCATTCCAATACAGGATAATCTGGCGCCAATAAGTTCACCAATATTACCAAACCCGACTATAACAGCATTATGACTTCTAGGTGAAAGATTTTCCCTATTGCAGCATGAGTGGCCATATGAACTTCCAAATACTGGTTCAACAATTGGTGTGCCGTTTTCTTGATCAAATTGAGCATGAAGCAATGACTGTCTCAAGATACCGGTATGTGCAAAATGTTCTTTACCAGTAAATTGTTCATAAAACTTGATATTTCTAAAACTGTTAATAGTATTATATAAAACCAAATCAGCAACAGCCTCACTAGCTATAGTGGACGGAACATTGGTTAAGATAATTTCCTTTTCAGACAACCCTTCAACATCGAAAATATCATATCCAATAGAGCAAGTAGTAACAACTCTTAAACTTTCTGGAACGGAATCAAGCAACTTTCCTTTAAGTCCACCAATTGGAGCAAACCCGGTCCAACCACAATATATTGCGACAATATCAGTAAATTTGGTTTGAAAATCTACTATCATTTGTTCCAATGTTGTGATTGAATAATATAAACATTCAAATTTAGATTCAAAATCTTCAAGCTTTTCAACTTGAGGTCTTTCTAAAAACAACACTTTTTGTTTAATAGTCATCTTAATATTAGTCACCTATATGTAATAGCAGAAACCGATGAGATAGGTAAAACATAGGAGGGTACAGAAAGAAGCAAGGGGGAGTTGGTCTGTTTTTATATCAAGTTTTCATAGAATTCCTTGAATAACCGTTAAGATGCGAGCGACTTCCTATTTGGGACGAATCCACAGAAACAACAATAAATTTGGCTGAAATCTCATAATCTAAGAGCCGATATAGGGATATCATAAAGATAGGGGCTATTAAAGATCACCCAAAGAGCCCATGTGGACACAGATATACATTATTTCTTATTTTTCCAATAGTATATTGAATATTTTCTCTTCATTGTCCCTCTCGAAATAAAGGAATATTGATACAGATGAGGAATTGTAGAGAGAGAAAAAAAAAAAAGAAAATTCACGCTAACCTAAAAAATGCTTCTAACGGTCGACTACAAGTATTAACTATACTTTTGAATATGTTTGTTTTTTAATGACTAATAATAGTTGAATAAAAAAAAAATAAAAAGTTGCAAATTGTATATATGATAATAATAATAAAAAAAATACTGAAATCTCAAAATCTCATAATATGCCATATTAGGGACAAAAAGCTTAACTATTGCAAAAACTTTAATGAATGAAAATTAAAACAAGGAGGTTGACAAATTAAAAACTAAATCACTATTGAATATGTGGGTGGTCTAACTGTCTAGTGGGCCATATCTGGTTCACCCAAATATTTAGCTTTCAAGACAGTACCACAGTGCCAACATCTAGAAACTTTACCTTCTTCAACTTTCATCCAGTATGGTTTGTGGTCAACTTCAGCAGTACCTTTACAACCGACATATCTGTAGCCCATGTAGGTTGGGACTAAGTATGGGTTTTCCATAGTACCTTTACCTTCAGTGATTGGCATTTCCATATCGAAAACATCAACACCTTCTCTCTTACCTAACAATTCCAATCTTTGTAAACCAGTGGCTTGGTCCCAATCAGTTGGGATAACACCTGGCTTAGAACCAGCACCAATCAAAGAAGCTGGACCAGTGACTTCAGCTAAATCTTGAGCAGTCTTGACTTTTCTTTCAGCTTCTGGAACAACTTGGCTGTTGAACAAGACTCTTGAAGTGGACAATAATCTGGTTTGTTGTCTGGCAACTCTTAAAGTAGTACGAGAAAGCATTTTATTTTGTAGTTATTGTCTGCTATAAAATTCAATGTTAGTATTAATAAATTTCATTTCCTCGAATATGATTGGATTATTTTTTGGGTATGATTTTGATATTGAAGAATCATAATTGTGGAACAATACTCCAAGATCTTGTCCATATTGAGTGTTTACTGTTTTTAATAGTGTTACGTTATCGATCTCACGACTATGTTTATACTGATTGGTTTTCCTGATGATAATTGATTCTTATAATTGATATTTCATAAAACACCTCATCCTGTTAAAAAAAAACTTTTGATTGAAATAAAACACAAATAAACAATCCAATTCATTATTATAACTCTTCTGACATACAGATATGAATAATTAACAAATTTCAATAATTGAATATGTAAAAGGTAGGGATAGTAGTGTGGTGGGGGTGTAGATTGAACTTTTGTTGATTTTATATATAAATAATCAAAAGTATCTTTATTTTCAAAAATCAGCTAATTATTTTTCTGGTGTCTACAACAATCTCGCACTTATTGGTGGAATATTATTGGTTTGTCTCTTGTACTAAGTAAAAAGAAAAAAAAAAGGACACACGTGACTCGTATAATCAATTCCGATAAGCGTCAAACAAAGTGCGGAATTTGAAATGGGCTGCAATATCGAGATAAAATCTAAGGTCAAATCATTGACCATCAAAAAAAGCATTAGTTAATGTTGGACAATCAATACAAAATTATGAGCTTCGAAGTTGGTACAAGAAAAGGGAAATCATTTTAATGTTGTCTAATTCATAAGAATTAGATCTTACGAATTGTCACCCGTAAATTTTGAAGCTGACTTTTGACCAATTTTTAACAAAAACTTATAATAACACTACATAGTTATTAGAATTCACTGTTAGAATTCCTATATTCTAATTAAATTAATAAAATGTTCTTTAATTGATAGAATGGTAAAATTGCAGCCAATTTGACTTATGGTGTGCAACGTGACACGATTTCCCTAAATTGAGACAAATGCACCGGTCGTGTATAATGTATCAAAATAGGGCTACAGCCCTAGAAGGATTTTGTTTGGGCATTATGACACGCACTTTTTTCCCATGAATTTTTTTTCCCTGGTACTGTTAGAGGGTGCGTATACCAACATTCACCTTGTATCCTACACTGAGAGGTTCGCACTCATACAAAAAATTTTTCAGATTTCAAATTTGGGTTTACTTTTCTCTTGTTTTTTAATACTATAAGTAAAAATGTATGTGGACGACGATAGTATATACCAAGGGGTTGATAAGATATATGACTGGAGTCAATAGTGTTATGGGATTGAATTTGAATTAGAATTATCAACATGTTATTTATGATTCAAGGAAAAAGAATGGGAATTTATTGATTAATACTTCAAATATTTCAAACCATAGTCAAATTCAAAATATTTATAATAGCAACTACATAAGATATTGAAATCAACAAGAGAGTCTTTACATGAATGTTTAAAGACAATGAACAAATATTTTTATCCAGTTCCAACATTTTATCTTACAACTTTTCAAACCTTGGGAGGACAAACTATAGAAAATTATTGATTACTAACAATTATTCTTTTTTATAGCTAACATGCCAAAAAAGAGAGCTTCCAACGGTAGAAACAAGAAAGGTAGAGGTCACGTCAAACCAGTCAGATGTTTGAACTGTGCTAGATGTGTTCCAAAGGACAAAGCCATCAAGAGAGTCACTATCAGAAACATGGTTGAAGCCGCTGCTGTTAGAGATTTATCTGAAGCTTCTGTCTACGCTGAATACGCTTTGCCAAAATTATACAACAAATTGCACTACTGTGTTTCTTGTGCTATTCACGCCAGAATTGTCAGAGTTAGATCCAGAACCGACAGAAAGATCAGAACTCCACCACAAAGAAAGAGATTCTCTTCTGACAGAAAAGTTTCTCCACAAGATGCTGCTAAAAAAGCTAACTAAATTAGTTTGTTTCGTTAGGAATTAGTGGTTAAATTGTGTTTTTTGGGTTAATTTTTCAACTTATGTATAAATTTATAATAAAACAAAACAAATAAAATTCATTGAATGTCATTTTAAAAGTATAGAAGATATCAACGGACTCTGTATACGTAGTTGATGTTGTCTCGAGTAGTTTGGGGAGAAGATTTTTACTATTCTTTCTAGTTCGATAGGAAACAGTAACAAATATCTCCAATGTTGTAGGTTACAACCATTGATTATGGGAGTTGATTTAGAATTAGTTTTAAGAGAGCATAATGATAATGATAAACCAAGACATATCCTTGAAGCTCTACCAATAAGAGTAAGGGTATAGATGGACCAATGTCAAGATTACTTGTATGGGCTTAAAAAAATTTTTTTTTTTCTTTTTTGTTGCAAAGTACACACATTGCTTAAACACAGTACTGTAGAGATTATCTCGCAACAATCAATCATATTTTCGCTTGTCTATACAATCAGTGGCAGCAGCACCGGCGACAGCAGCAGCAGCAGCAGCGGCAGCAACCACAACTTTTATGAGAGTGAGTGAGTGAGCGAGAAGAATCAAGAGAGAGAGAGAGACAGCAAAAAAAAATTAACAATCATTCCTAATTTAATTTTTCCCACTTAATTTGTCCGTTTCCCATTTTTTTTTCTTCTCACACACTCTCTCGTAGTCTCCCTACTGCTTTGCTGACTGACTGACTGACTGACTGACGCTCATTTTTCTTTTTCTCACGCTCTTTTACAACCAAAAAGTATAGTGATTATTATTACCTACTCAACTAGAATTTGCAATTAGAAGTAATATAAAAGTGAATTGCTGTTCATTTGATTTTAATATTACCACAAGTCATTTCTCATTGTATTATTTCTTGTCTAACATTACAATTGACATCATCACAAGAGAGAGAGAGAGAAAAAAAAAGAAATCAGTATTCAATATTTGTTAAACCAACAGTAAGAAATCCAATCCAAAAAAAAGAGAAAAAATCGATTGAAATCGGTCAAGCCCAATCAACGAAAAAAAAAGACAACTAACGGACAACAATCATCAACCCAAACTAACATCTAGTTTTTTTTTACTGTCTACTTATTATTCACTATAGAAACAAACAAACAATCACATTATAAACAATTATGTCGTCAGATGAAACTTGGAAGTTCTCTCAATGCTTTGGAGATAAAGGAGACATTGAGAATATAACTGAAGCGGATATTATATCTACAGTCGAATTCGACCACACAGGTGATTTCTTAGCCACTGGTGATAAAGGTGGTAGAGTCGTCTTGTTTGAAAGAAACCAATCTAAAAAGAAGCAAAGTTGTGAGTACAAGTTCTTCACAGAGTTTCAAAGTCATGATGCCGAATTTGATTATTTGAAATCATTGGAAATTGAAGAAAAGATAAACAAGATAAAATGGTTAAAAAGTGCCAATGATTCCCTTTGTTTATTATCTACAAATGACAAGACTATAAAATTATGGAAAATCCAAGAAAGACAAATCAAATTAGTTTCAGAGAATAATTTAAATGGTTTAAATCACTTACCAAGTTCAAACATAGGCATAGAGTCATTAAAATTACCCCAGTTACAACTTCATGACAAATTGATTTCTGCCCAACCAAAGAAAATTTACGCCAATGCACATGCTTACCATATAAATTCCATATCAGTCAATTCGGACCAAGAAACATACTTGAGTGCTGATGATTTAAGAATTAATTTATGGAATTTAGGAATTGCCGACCAATCATTCAATATTGTTGATATCAAACCTGCTAATATGGAAGAATTGACTGAAGTTATCACAAGTGCTGAATTTCATCCATTGCAATGTAATTTATTCATGTATTCGTCATCTAAGGGGACTATTAAATTATCAGATATGAGATCAAATTCTCTTTGTGATTCCCATGCAAAGATTTTTGAAGAATATTTAGATCCTTCATCTCACAATTTCTTCACTGAAATCACCAGTTCTATTTCTGATGTCAAATTTAGTCACGATGGTAGATACATTGCATCTCGTGATTATATGACAGTCAAGATATGGGATTTAGCTATGGAAAACAAACCAATTAAAACTATTGATGTTCATGAACATTTAAGAGAAAGATTGTGCGATACTTATGAGAATGATGCTATTTTTGATAAATTTGAAGTTCAATTTGGTGGTGATAATAAATCTGTAATGACCGGTTCATACAATAATCAATTTGTAATTTATCCAAATGCTGTCAATACTGGAAATGACGATAAACCAAAATTCAAATCTGCATTTAAGAATAGTTCTAAAAGAAGTAAAAAGAATGGATTTAGCACAAGAACTACAGATGATGACGATGACGACGACGATGACGACGACGATGAAGAGGCTGATGATGAATTTGATGAAGAAGTTCCAGCTACTAAGAATTCTCCAGGTTCACAATTAGAGGATGACGATGAACAAGAAGAGATTATTTTACAAGCTGACAAGTCTGCCTTTAAATCAAAGAAATCAGGTCAACACCCAATGAGACGTAGAATGACAAGTGGAGTTGGTAGTAATCTCGGGAGAGAATTTGATGATGTTGACTTTAAAAAGAGTATACTTCATTTGTCATGGCATCCAAGAGAGAATTCCGTTGCTATTGCTGCAACTAATAATTTGTACATTTTCTCCACTTTATGATAATTTTTACTTATATTTTTGTTTCTTCTTCTTTTCACATACAAATAACAACGAATTTCAATTGATTTCTTATTCATATTCATTTTTTTGTCACTTTCTTACTTCATTTTATTTTGGCACTTTCTCTGATCATTTCCATTTGTGTATACATATAAAAATAGTTTTCTTTGCGTTTCTGCATTCTTCGTGTATTGTTGTACATATTTATTTGCAATTTAAGTTAACACTGTTTGTTATATTATTATCAAAGAGTAGCCGTACGTTTATCATTGCACGTGATGACCGACCATATGATCATATGTGTTTATTCAATTCATCAGCCAGTATTAATGTATATATTTAAGCAATGAAGTCCCGACTTGTTAACATGATAACATCTTCTCTTTTAGTACAGGAGATTTAAGTGGGGGATATCCTTATTATGGTTATATATTTCCTCAAGCTAGGTCTTAGTATAGTTGGTGATGACTTCAGTTACTTATTGAGACCATTTTTCAAAAGGGAAAAGCATGAAATAGTAGAAACAGATTTCCCTGATATGAAGACAAGTCATGGGACAGTTTAACATCCACAAAACATATGGTAAGATTTAGCAGAGTATTATAGATGTAACAAATAATGAATTGTCCCAGAGATCTGTTTTACGTATTATCCAAGAACGTTATTGAACATTATTGGAAAGTTATCGCTATTGTTGCCAGATTTTTTAAGCCTAACTTCTTTACAAATATAAATACAAGAGACATTTAAAATCTTTTATAAAATCATAATAAACAATTGGAATATATATTACTAGTAATATCTTACCTTTTTCAAATAAAAAAAATACTTTCAAAAATTAAAAAAATCATGCTAAGCGGTAGTTATAATAATAATAATAAAAAACTCGCTTTCAATCTGTTTAGAAAACAAAAATCATAATCAAAGATCAATTAATTTAATCTTTAACAACGTGTCTGTTAACATCAGAGTTCCAGAACAAAGTTTTATCACCATCACCCCAGAAGAATGGTTTCAGTCTAATGTTTTGATAATCATATTGAGTTGGCCATTCATCATCAGTCATATGAGCTTGATGTTTTCTATGTTCAGCATGTTCCAATTCAACTTTACCAACTGGAATAGCAACTAATAAAACAGCTGGAATAGCAACCAAATAAGTTAATTTTCTCCATAATTTGGTAATATCACCAGAATGATGAACTTTTTCTTCATATTTCTTAATAAATTCTTCACCAGCAGCCTTGTTTGGTTTGTAAGCAGCTTCTTTTAAAAAAGCAGATGGTTTTAAGTGGTGAGCGTGAGAGTTAAATCTTCTGAATGCCAATTGTTGAAATCCTTTTCTAAACATGGTTCTTTGTCTTTGTTATAATTGGTTGTAATTCTAACCTAATTGAAATGATTAGTGTAAGTTTTTTTTTCTTTTCGTTTCTTTCTCACATTGAAGAGAGAGAGAGAGAGGACTTTTGGTTTCCAATCAATTTCATTGGGTGTGTGTATTTGGCAGTAGAAAAAAAAAAAAAAAATCATGCGATACGCTCATACAGAGAGTCGTGTCTACGTGCACACACAAATTGGGTTTATCAGAGTGAATTTTTTTTATTTTTGGGTTTATCAATCTGTTTTTATATATTGAGGGTAAGAATGAATTTCCTATTTGTTTTCATTACTTATACCAATCAGGCTCATTGAATTGGCAATTTTTTCAATGTCGTCTCTTGTTTCTTCCTTCAGCTTTAAATAATGTTCTCTATACCATTTCAATTGAGCAATACTTTCTAAAATATCTGATCTAGCAGTATGTGATCCCTTTTTCTTTGGTTGCCATTTCATTAAATCAGGATTATGTCTATAACCAATTTCCATTATAGTTGAAACATCAATATTTCTATAATGTAAATGTTCAATAACTTTAGGGAATTCTTTCATCATAAAAAATCTATCCATATGTATGGAATTACCTGCTAATAATGCATCTCTTTCTTTTGGAATATACTTTTTTATATATTCTAATAATTCATTTTCAACAATATCCAATTTTCTATCAGGATTAGCCAATACTTTTGCAGTTAAACCTGATTTACCATGAGTTTCAATACACCATTCATTCATTTGATCTAGTCTTGATTTAGGATAATAAATTGTACTTTCATATCCTTCTTCATCTACAATTTCTAGATTTCCATCAGTTATTAAACAACATATTTCAATAATATTATCATTTCCAAAAACATCTAATCCGGTCATTTCACAATCTACCCAAACGATAGGTTTTTCTGGTCTAGATTTCATTTTTTGATCAATTAAATTACGGAATTCTGAAAGTGTTTGTTCCTTGGATGCAATTGTTTTCTTTGAAGTTGACATGATTGAATAAAATCTTTTACTAGGAATATGAGATATCTTTATAATATGTCTTATCATAATCTAAAAAGAAGGAAATATATATATTTATAAAAAAGATGGACTAAAAAAAAAAAATAAAAAAATTCCCAAATTTCAATTATGTTACTGTCCATGTAAGAATTTACATTTATTCAAGTCGGATTTTTGTTTTCGTTCTTTCTCCTTTTTCCTGTTTACTGTTAAAACGTGTTTCTCGCCATGTCGCGCGATGCATTTCCCGCCCGATTCGGGCGAGTCACCGCGAGTTGGAGTTTTCTACTCCAGCCACTAAAAAGTTTGTCTTTTTATTATTATTCTTATTTTGCAATCTACAAAATCTAATTAGAAAACTATACTAGTGATTATTGATTACTTTAATTGTATTATCTATTAAGAACTTTCTGCCCACTGTTTGGATTCTCTTGTTTCATCACCCAGTAATTGATGCATTAAGTTACAATAATTCTTGGAACTATCAAGAGCACAATCTATATTTCGATTATTGAATCCAACTTTGCTGATTTCCCCACCTTCAAATATATCCAATTTTTCATCCATTAGTGCTTTTAATAAACCTCTAATTTGAATCATATCAACAGTAACATCACTTAATGAAAATGTCAATGTCATCAAATCGGTTTCTCCATCAAAGACCCATTCTGAAATACCATTTGGAATGAAAACACTTTGAATATTTGGATCACATAATTTTTCTTGATTTGGATACCAGCCAATTAATTCAACATTAAATGACATAAATGAAGATATATGACTGATTTTGAAATTTGTTCCTGTTTTGGAAATAACTGCCAAATTTGGTCTATACATATGATTACTACATCCACAATTTGTTAAATGAGCTCTTGGGAAACCAATCCAAATTTCTTTACCAGAAGGTAATCTCTTGTTAATTTCTGGAATGTTCAAATCACGAATATTAATCATTGGTGTACCTCCTCTTAATGCACCAATTTCATCATCTTTATCACTGTCCTTTGATTTTTGTGCTTTGGATGGTAATTTGTATACAAATTGACAAAACCCTTCGTCTAATGAACACTTAAGAACCTGTAAATCAGACCATTTGTAAACAAAATAAATAAATCTATCAAATTTATGCAATTGACGTTCAATATGACTGATCATTGGAGTCCAATTCTTCTCAGTAGATTCTCTTGGTGTATCAATTACTCTTATTTCTTTTGTTTTCAAATAAACTCTCCATTCCATATCATCCGATTCTTCAATATTTCTTTTCCCGGATTGTGATTTCCATAAAAAACTCATAAACATAGATCTAAAATATTGATACTTCACGTTCTTATATCCATCAACGGTTTCATCAATAGAAGAGATCTTTCTATGGAATGCATTGAATACAATTAAAGGTTCTTCATAACCTTCGTCATTTTTAACAAGAACAAGTCTTGGATCTTCGGGACCAAAATAAGATTTCTTAACTTCTCTATAATCATGATGTATAGGAATACTCAATATTCCAGGATATGATACCATTTTCATCGATTCATTTGTGTTATCAGGTACAATTAATTCAACATTTTTCAATTCTTCCCAATTTGTATTAAATATTTGAGCATAAGCAAAGGAAAACAATGGTTCATTTTTAGAACCCAATGGTGAATACATGATTCTAGATATCATTAAATGAACACCATATTCTTTTAAAAACACTGAACTACCAACCATTTGAAACCAATGATCGTTAATTGTTCCCTTTTCTATTTGTTCCGGAACTTCCTTTAAAAAAGGTTGCAATTCTAAGAAATAATCTGATTTAGAATCCATAAAATTTTTAACAACATCAGTTAAATTACTATTAAAATTTTGTTTTGGTGTCACTTCAAAATTAATATAACTTGATATTGTTGAACATGCTTCTTTATCATTTCCTGATTTGAAAATTTCTCCACGATATTTACTAAACCCTCGTTTTTCATTTATCCAAGATCCCAATAGTTTATCTTGTTGATTAATTTCTGAATCATGTTTACCAATTATATAATTTTCGTCAGGGGGTAATTTTAAATCAAGATAATCTGTATAATAATTTTTAATTTCTTTATTATTCAATGGGGTCCAGTGCGGAAAGATAATAATTTTTTTATAATTATTAACTTCAACTCCATTTTGATTATTATGATTTCTATTATTTTCAATATGATTATGTTTTTCATGATTAGGTTTATCAGTAACTTCCAGATTCATCTGAGAAATTAATTGTTGTTCACCATATTTAGTTGTTTCAATGAATAAAAAACTTGTACATATAAGTAGAAACATAATTGTTAACGGTAGTCTTTTCCCCCGAAACTTTCGTAAAATTCGCATTGAAAAAGCCATGATGATTTATGATACAATATTATGAATTAATAAAATAACACAACTAAGTGATTCATTTACCAAAAAAAAAAAGAATAAGAATAAAAGATTGTGGTTATTAGTTTTTTGTTGTTGTTGTTGTTTCTTGATTTCCTCTATTATAAATAAGAATAAAATTTCAATCCCCTTTTTTTCATACGGTACAGAAAAAAAAAAAATAAAATCAATTTCTTTGGGTTTCGTATAGCTCGGATGGTTTGTATGCACCGCGCTACCAATCGCAACACATAATATTTTTTTTTTAATTTTCTAGCCGGATTATCCAAAAGTTTCCTAAAATTGCTTCGATATCAATAGTAGAAGAGGAAATATGACATTGTTTAGTACCACATTGATAGTTGAATAATTTGTTTCCTAGCTGGCCGGATTTGATCTAATTTCAATAGTTACACAATGAGTCGACTTACCCTAGTACATCCGAATTACTACAATTCGTCAATTATATACCATAATATTCTAAACCCCATAAATATTTATTTTTTTTATATATATTTATCATTTGCCTCTATAAACCGGTTTGTTGACTATTTCTAGCAGCAGCAGCAGTAGCTACATGGTTCATATGTTCCAATAAATCTGAAGCTAATGAGTTCATTTGCATATTGTAATCACTTTGTGCATGTTCAGCATATACTTTACAGAACTCTTTTGATGATTTAATAGCACATTTAACGTTATTCTCATTCTTCACCAAAGGAGATGGTAATAACGATTCAGTAAGTATTTTTCTTAAAATCCCTTTAGCAAATAAAATATCAACAGTAGCATCTGATCGTGATAAAGTCAATGTCAAATAATCATTGGGTTTACCTGATTTATCTTTAGCAAAATTCCACGAAGAAATTCCATTGGGAACAAGAAGATTCTTTCCTGAACAAATCATCCCATCATCATACCATGGGATAATAGGGACATCAAGATCCATAAATGATGATATAGCTGAAAATGAATAACCTTCACTATCTTTAAGGAGCACAACCAAATTAGGTCTATACATCTTAAAACCACAGCCACAATTTTTCAACACAACTCTGGCAAATCCAACCCAAAGCTGTTTATTATCACGGATGAGTATCTGCTTGAACTTGTTCAATTCGTTATAATTCGAGTTGTCTAACAATTCATTAATACTTATAAGCTCAGTACCACCTCTTAATCTCTTTATAGCTGGCGGATTCTCTTCGTTTTGTTGATATTCCCATATACATTCAGTTATAGTTGGATTTAGTGAACATGAAAGAATCTTCAAGTCTTGAAATTGATAGATAAGTTTAAGATCTGAATCATAACCATTATTTTGTCTATATTCGTAATCGATAAATGGTGTCCAATTTTTTTCTTTTTTCCTAAGGGTAAAGTCCGAAGGGAGCTTCAATTCTTTCACTTTGACATATACATCCTGCAAGTGAGATTGATCCATAACTTCATCAATATTTGATTTTCCTCTTTGAGTTCTCCATAACCAACCCATAAACATCGATCTATACATGTCCAATCTAACAGTACTCCAAATATCTTTAAAATTTTTAACCTGAGAAATCTTTCTATTATGAGAATTGAAAATAATAATTGGTTCTTCATAACCCTTGTCATTTCTGATTAAAATTATTCTTGGATCCTCAGCTCCATAGAATCTTCCCTTTTGTTGTGCAACATTGTGATAGACAGGCACGGGTAAGAAATTAGGATATGATACAGACTTATATTCTGGTGCACCATTTGTATCATCATCATTAGGTACAATTAATTCGACATTTTCCAATTCATTCCAATCACGATCATATACTTGAACATAGGACAATGACATCACTGGTTTAACTTTATCTCCAGTTTTGGTGTAAAAAATTCTAGAAATCATAAGATGAACACCATACTGTTCCAACCATACTGAACTACCAATCATTTGAAACCAATATTTTTCAATTGTACGAGTTCTTAACTGGCTTGCTAAATCAGGGAAAAATGGATGCATTTCTTTATAATATTCACTATCTTCATGAGCAAAACGAACTAAAATTTTATACAAATCTGTATTCATATTGTACGCTCGACTAACCTTGAAGGGGATCAGTGATGCTGAACATTTGCTTTTCTCTGAAGTTTTAAATATTTCCATTGAAGTTGGTTTATAAGACACTTTCTTTAATTTATTGGAAATATGACTCTTGAACACCACATCATTGGCAAGTAACTCGTGATGCAAAGTGTTTATGTAATAGTCACCAAGTTGTTCATTCCGTAGACGACAATCTTTAGGAAAAATAACAATTTTATTGCTGTTATAAGTGTATTTACTTAGGTTGGCCATAAATTCTTCAGAAGTAAAGTAATCATCTTTTAAATACACAGTCGAATAGATAACAGTGAATGCAATGAGGCCAAGACAAAGTAAAACAAAAGGAATTTGAGATCTTCTTAATCTTCTTGGTATTCGAACTTTTTTGAGTAGACCATTAGAAGATGGCGGTAGTTTTAAATATTTGGTATTCATTTTCTTAATATCAAAATGTGGATTGGCTGTAAATGAAGTATTATACAAGAACAAGACATCAATACAAACACAACTTACGCTATATAGTCTTGTTCAAGTGAATTTGCAAAGTAAGAAAGGGTATGAACTTAACTGAATAGGTAAGATAAAATCAACAAGACAGGTTTGACAAATGTAAATTAAATGTTGTATTAATTTGTATGAAAGTTTAGAAATTAAAGGAATGAATAAATGAAAAAAAAAAAAAAAATATGTCAAAACAAATGAAGAGAATTTTAAATCTCATTCATTTTTTTTTTTTTTGATATTGAAATTTATAAACAAAATGAAAATGTTTGAACCTTTATGATATTCGTATATCAATTATGAATGATTTAACACTGATAAAGCCTCGTAACATAGACTATACTCTATTTATGACCATATATAACTATAGTGGGTGTAGAGCAATTTTAACTAAAAATAACAGTGTGTTTATCACCAATGACCATTCGTACTATTCTTCTTGTTCCTTTGTCTAATGAGCTCTGTTCTCATCCCCACTCCCTCCATCCATCCATCCATCCAACACGCGCCACGTAATTAATTCCTTTGAGCAAACTTTCTATTTTTGTTCCATTTGATTTCGTGCCAAGAGTTTCCCACTGCTCGGACGTTCCTTGCGTGCCATGCACATCCGTTTCCCTTGTTATTTCTATTTTTACTTTGTTCCATCTTGTAGTTAATAATATTAGAATCTAACTTGGTTGATGCGTGTTGAACGGGATATTATTCTATTGAACACACCTTTTACTATAAAGGGGCGTCTTTGGATCTTAGCTCAAATAGATAATAATAATAATAATAGTAAAAACACACACACACACACACTGCCTATACACTTCCATTGTTCTAGCCAACGTGCTTAAACTTGGGGCTATGGCAATGTCTAAATGCAAAAAAGTGGCGTAAATTCACATCGAGCCTAGAACTTTAAACCTCTTACCAACAAGGAAGAAAGTAAAACAGAATTAAATTTTACATTACCTGCTATTACATAATCTAACGAAGTTTATAAATATACAAACAATGACCCAATATTTTTTTATTGCTTATAATCTGCAATTTTCATCTTGTCAACTTCTTTCTCTAACTCTATTTTCTTCAGGGATGTTTGATCTTGAGCAGATGGGGAA